TTTAAGCCCAGTGGAGAGGTTCCTGCCTCAGAAAATCATTTGGTCCAGCCTGGGGAGTGTTGGTGGTGCTGCAACTCCCTTTCCTTCTCCCCTCCATGAGTCAGAATGGGAATGTGGGCCTTTAGGTCTGAGTGGAAGGGATTACACCTTCCAATGTGGGGGTTTTTTTGAGATTTCAGACATTTTCTCCATTTTGTACCTCACCCATCAAGAAGTACCAAGGAATGTGGTGGTTGGGGTGTTTGGAGGGTGGAGATATCTCTGAAACCATGACCTACATAATGCAGAGCAAGGACGTGAATTTCTATATATTGGCTGAATGTTTGGGCTTTTCTGGGCAGTTTTCTTGCTCTGGTTTTACATTTTCTCACACTCAGTGTCTGTAGGTGATAAGAGGGGAGGGCAGAGTCTGTGTGTTCTCCTCAGAGGTTTCAATTTTCATGAATCAACAGGAGGGTCTTTCCATAATTCTTTCTCCCTTCATCCCCATTTGAAATTTAACTACAGAGACATCCTGATCTGCCTGAAGTGCTTGGGGCTTTCTGCTGCTCTTTTTCTGTCATTTAAAACAGATATAGAGCTCACAGTTGCTTTAACTGGGTGACATGGGGAGAAAATGTGCCCCACATGGCATCTGGGAGTCAAATAACCACCGGTGGAAGCGTCTCTGATTCAGCTGTTGGCTCCTCAAGAGGAGAATCCCAGGAGAAGGGAAATGGTAAAACCCATCAAACCCACCAGAACACCTCAATGTCCCAACAACTGCAAAAAAACCCCCTGTGGCTGTGTGGGCACAACCCATGTGGGCACTTGGGTGAAGGCAGGCCCTCCTCTTTCTCCACATGATGGAGAATTACAAGCCGTATAGATTATTTTAATGGCCGTATTACTTCCAACTGTGCCTCCGCCATCTGTTCTTCCCCAATTACAGATGCAAAAACCCAGCATGGTTCCCCATTCGGGCTATAGAGGATGAAATACAAGCATTGTAAAAGGGTGTATATTCTTCCAACAATGTAGTTGGCACCTGTGATGTGCTGCTCGTGCTTCTGCCCCGTGTTAGTCGGGATGCTCAGCCTGGTCCCTCTGCTCCACGTCCCGGCCCACGCCCGGACCTGTGGTGGCAGAAGGAGTTGTTAATAAAAGGAAGAGGCTGGTTTGCTACATGATTTGTCAGTGCCGAGCAGGGCAGCTGAATTATTAACGCTGACCAAGCCTCTAAGTGCTACAAAACTCGACGAGAACCTCTTACCTCCGGCGCAGCGATAAACAGGATTGAGGCACGGTGGGAGGGAGGGAATTAAGATAGGACATCAAAGACTGGATTCCGTCAAGTAAATCATGCCATTGCTCCAGTAAAAGAGCCCCTAAATGTTTTATTAGGGATTTTCAACAACTACCAAAATTAAGATGGAAGGGATGAATTATTAAAAAATAGATTAACTAAACCAGCCGCTGAATTAAACATGAAAGGTGCCTATCGGGAGCGGCACGGCCACCGTGTGCTGTAGGCATCTGAGTCCTTCAGCCAGGCGTGCTGGAGGGGCCCTGGAGAGGGGGAGCAGCAGTGCTGGGGGCATGGAGAGCCACAAGCTGCTCCTCCAGGTCAGTATTGCAGAGCCAGGCCATGGAGAGGCTGTTGCAGGGTCAGGAAATGAGAGTGCCAGGTGCTGTGGAGTCATCAAAGGTGGGGTTTCTGCCTCAGGCTGAAGAGATGCAAGAGAGAGTGAAACATAGGTAGAAAAAGGTGGCTTGCCTGAAGTACTCGAGCCAGGATCTGAACTTTCTTTTCCTCCATGTTAATTTGGTGTTACCAAATCAAAGTCATCTGTGGCAGGACAGGGACTGAGCTGGGGGATGGCTCGGGGGTTGTGGTGGGCACTGGGAAGCTGCTCCACCAGGTCTGGTGCTCGTGGCATTGAATAAGGGTAAGGAGGCTTTGCAGGGGCCAGAGAGGACCCAGAGTGGGGGAATGGGTGAGGAGGGCTCATATGGTCCCTCCCACCAACCTACCTGGGTGAACAAGACAGGATTTGTGTGTTGCCAACAGCTGGGGCACAGCTGGAACAGGGGGTCTCTCCATGCCCCTGCGTAGTTTGAGCATGTTGGTCTGCCCCCATGGCTTCTTGTACTAAACCTCTCCCACCTGGGTGTGCCTGTTGATGGGATTGATCCCTGTGGGGCACAGAGTCAATATCTTAATCCCTTCCAAAAGCCGACTTGTGATCTCAGTCTGGTGTTTCTGTGCCCTTGCAGTACAACCTGTCCTGACACTCCCCATGGAGGGCTGTGGCAGCCTGTGAAGGTAAAGCACAGATGAGAACAGGAGGTGAAGAGATGCTGTTGTCTGGGGTTTGTTCTCTTCCACCCCCCAGGAGGGTGGGAGCATCGTCTCCAAGTGTGAAAGACAAAATGTCGTGGAATTTCTATTTGTTCTCCCTCTCTTTCTTCTTCCCTCACACGTTCAAAGCTCTTACTTGGAAGTCTACAGTCAAACCCCTGTGAATGCCAGCGGTAGTAGAGCTGCTGGGAGCAATTCACAGTGCCTGCAGCAGCAGTGCTTCCTCCACTGATGGAACAAGTGGAGGCTTCATTCATAATAATAATAAACTGCTATTTTGCAGTTATACGTTGCTTTTAATCTTCACAACTCAAAGGAGCAGTAATTAACTGCGTGGCACGGTGGGAGGCAGGTAGCTGTTGTTGTCCCTGTTTTACAGATGAGGAGGCTGGAGCACTGTCACATCCTGCAGCCTGCCCACAGTCAGACAGTATTTCACCATCCGAGCCTTGCAGCCGATCCCAAAATGCCACCTCCTGCTCGGAGCTTTATTCTTGGGAATGCTCTCCTGTGGCAGGGCAGGCCCTCAGGGGTTTCTGAGGTCGTTTGCATTTCCTTACACCCCGTTTGGTTTTGGATAGATAGAGGTGAATATTGCTGAAGTCAAATGTGAATCTTCTAATTTGAATTAGTCCAAATGCCGAAAGCAAGTTCCCTGCCCTCGGGCCAGCGGCCGGGCAGAGTTCCAGCTCTGCAGTGCTCCTTCCACTGGGAGAAAAACTTGGAGAAACACGTTAAGCTCAGTCTTTGCTGTGATCTCCACTTTTTGCTAATGTATCTAGAGAAGCCTATTTGGCTGAAGTGATAAAAATACAACCCCTGACTGTTTTCCTGCTCAGAAATCCCCAGGTTTGCCTCTCTGCTTCCAAAATCTCCAACTTGACTCTTTTTCCAGGGGTCACATTTGCAGATATTTGCATCTGCTGCTGCTTATTGGCTGAAAGATCAGTGTTTTGGCCCTTGTGTATGGAATCAAAGAGGAATTTTGGCTTGTATTTTGGGAGAGCATGTGCTGGAGAGGCTTTGGGTAACCCTCACCTCTCCTTGCACATGGTGGCTGGCCTCCAAGAACCCCCTGATGCTCTCAGCTCCCCTCTCTGCACAGAGGCACCAGCTGCCATGGGCTCTGAAGGATGCTCCTGGCATCCATCAGGTCTTCATCCACTGCTCCCTGCTCCCTGGTGGTTTGTGGGATTCGTGGTGGGACCATGGAGGGACATTCATGGCTCTCTCTGAGGTCTTTCAGAGGACACAAATTCTAGTTTGGGCATCCTCCTCAGCCCCTCAAGGCATACCTTGGAGTAACATGGAAGCTTTTCCATTTAGTCTTTTTAATTAAAACAGACACTGAAATAAAAGTGGTGAGTGAAGTGTGATGGGCAGGTGGAGAGTGGTCCTGCTAATGTGGAAACGCTGCTCTTGTCTTTCTCTCTTACCCTTTTTTTTTTTTTTCTCCTCTCATTAATCTCCTGTTGCTAAATGTGCAGCTGGAGGGAGGGTTCCCAGGCAAACTTCCCACTGATGGGTTCTGACAGATCTAATCAGGCAGGAATGGCGACGACCACGTCCTGTGCTGCTGTGAATTGTGGTTCAAACCTAATATCCTTCACCATGACACACTGTGGTGACTGAAACGAGCCTGATGGCTCAGATCTGGTTGACCTGAGGGCAGGAATGCTCCCATCACCTGCACACCTGCCTGCTGCTCCTGCCTGTGGGATTGGGCCCCTGATGCATCCCTTGCAACCTCTGCCATTGCACAGTTCTTCTAAAGGCCTTTCATGTCTCTCCCAAGTGGTGTTTTAGTTGTCTGATCCTTCCTATTCCTTAGGAAGACTAATAACAGGTTCCCCCTTCTCTCCCCAGCATCTATTGCAAGTAGTTCCAGGGTGTGTAGGCTGGACCTGATTTGACTGTGCCTAGGTCATCCCTAGGTCTGTATCTAAGCTAGTCCCTAAGGCTGCTTCCTCTAATCATTGGAGATCTGGCCAGTGGAGCTCAGGGCATGGATCAGCTCTTTTTCTATCCTTGACTGCTTTAGGGCAAGGGGATCATCCATAAACAAGGCGATTTCTCCTGGTGAGTTTGGAGGAGCCCAAAGTGACCAGTCCTATGCATATCTTGGGTTACTTTGGAATGGGTGAGCTGAATCCCATCTTTCTTCTCTCAGACCTAGGGGCAGGGTTGTTCTGGCTGCTTCTGGACCAGCATCAGTCAGTCAGGTGTCAGCCCTGGGCAGGCTGTGCTCTGGCTCTGGGAAAAATGCCCTTGGCACCAGCAGATCCACAGCTGTAGGAATGCAACCCCCCATTGTCTCATCTCAGGATTTGGGTCTGGGGTCTTCTGTTTTAGGCATAGCAGACCAAGTCCCACAGCACAGTCCCAAGCCTTGGTGGAGCTGACACAGTCTCCCCCTCCCTCCAAGGCTGAGCTCCTGAGTGAAGTACCCTTACAAGAGCTACAACGTGTACCCTGCTTCAGCCTCTCTGCCTTTAACCCTCTCTCTTCCTCTGGTAAATAATGATGTTCCCTGTTCCACGTCCAAGTCCCCACTCAATTTATCTTGTTTATTGACCCAAGCAGAAAGTCAATGTTTTCTTCATCTGCCATTTGCTTTGATGGCAGCCAATTTGGTTCAGCCGGAACAAAACCGGATGCAGCAGAGTTCAGCCTCAGATTTTTCTCCTTTTTTTTTTTTTTTTTTTTTTTTTTTTTTTTTTTTTTTTTTTTTTTTTTTTCCTTAAATGCTGATTATCCTTTTTTCCTGAACACACCTGGCCCTGGACACAGCTTGGCAACCTTCACTATATGGTATGGCTGCAGGCAAGGCTAAAAATGTGCAGCAATTACCCCACGAGCTGGAGAGCCAGGAGGAAGCCTGCGGGTCAGCTCATTACAGGCTGCAGCCAGGGCTGCCTGTGCTCGCCTGGTGAGGGCTGTTTGTTTGGAAAACATTGGCCTCTGGGGCTTTCATGTGCATTTGGAGCTCTGTATCTTCCTCAGAAGTTAGAAGATGATGCTTTGCAGCCATTGCCCAGATCAGAGTTTTTCAGGCACTGTGCCGTCGGCTCCACGGTCTTGTTTGTGCAGGGGGTGGGATGTGGGATGGGAGGAGGCAGGATTGCCTCTCTTACAAGGTATTTGCAACTCTACAGATCAGGAAACGTTCCCTGACGAGCCAATGCAGGGATAAACACAGGCTCTGCCCCAAAGAGTTTGCAGGCTGGGCACAGTGTGTGGCTGCTCTGGGGTCTGTCCAGGCAGTGCCTGCACCACCGTGGCACATCTTCGCAGGGGACGTAGAAGACAAACCCTTCTGGCAGGATGGGTGAAGTTTTAGGTCATAGCCAAGGTGATCTCATGAGATGTGGTCCAGGCCTTCCCCAGCCCATCACTTCCCCTGTGCCAGTGGTGGTGTCTCTCTGATCCTGGGCTGAGCTTGCTCAGGGGATTTAAACCAGAAGAAACCCCTCTTTTTCTCCATGGTAGGAAAATCTTTGCTCTGAGGTTCCCACATCTCCTCGCAGGGGTGAGATGGGGCCCTATCAAAGGCAGCAGCAGAATGGGGTGGAGACCTGGTCTCTCACCTTTGGAGACCAGACCCATGAAGGTGCTGCCTTCAGAAGGGCTTGGTGACTGTTGGCTTATAGGGGAGAGTGCTGCCCTGGTGACAAATCCAGCTGTACTCCAAGGAACTGCTAGTGGATGCTGGGCACCTTGGAAAACACAATCTGCATTGGGTGCCTAGATAAGTGCCAAGGCCTTTTGAAAAACCTGCCCATGTGGATGGAAAATCCATATGTAAATCTCTCCCCAGGTATAAAATTAATTGGATTCTAACTTCAAAGAGTACTTCTGGAAATGAGCTGTAAATAATCTGGTTGTGCCTCAGTTCCTCTGTCTGTGGACATTCACCTGGCTTTCTTGGAGCCAGTGAGTGTTGCTGATGGAAGGTGCTATATATAGCAGCAAAACTAGTCATATATGTATACATATGCATAAATGCTTCCCTAGTAAGTGACCCAGGTGTGTGATGTTTTTTAAAATACAACCTATGGATTTGTTTCTCAAAAAAGCTCCAGTTTTGCTTATCATGGGCTCTCACCTCTCTCTCTGTCAAGCCATAAGTACTCCCATAACATGGGATACTTCCTTACCCAGTACTGTGGCTGGGAGCAACGTACCCAGGTTGGGATTTGGTGATCCCTGGGATGCAGAGAGGTCGGTGAAGGTCACTCAGGAATGTGGCTCTCAGGGGAGGTTCAGCTGGATGGGGCTTTATTGCAGAGCCTGGTGTTGCTCCTGGAGCTATATTAGGATGCTGAGCTGCTGTGTTCTGCAGGGGCTGGCTCCTCCACGGGCTGTCCTGCCTGCAGCCAGCATCCCGTTGGGATCTGCAGTCCCAATGCTTGTCCCTGTGCAGAGATGGCTGATCCATGGCACCCAGTTTCTGAGGAACTCAACACCGTCTGTTCCCAGCAGATCGATAGAACATCTGTGAAAAATCAGGGCATGGATATCTGATCCGGCAGCCCTGGCTGTGTCCTCTTTATCTGATCTGATTCTGTCGGTTTTCCTGAAGTGCTTATCACCACATCTTGGCACTTTATTTGTGCACTGGAAAGCCCCCAGTCACTGGGCAGTGAGAGGGGCTGAGAATGGGCTGTGCCTGGTCCTGGAGCCTGGACACAGGCAAACAATGGGATAAAGGGCGACTCCCTTCCTCTCCCAGTCTCCCTGCAGAATCCAACTTTTCCCTCACAGGAATTCCTAGTTTCTAGGCCAGGAAAGTAGCATGGAGAGATGGAAACTGCCACAGCCAAACTTTCATTTAGGCTAGAGTATATGTCTGTTTTATATGGGAAAACCCTTCAGCTCATCTCTTTGGGATGCTGAATAAGCAGGACCTGAAATCTTGTTTTGCTGATTACTTGGTGGCTGATTACTTGGAAGGGCAAAGACAAGGGGAAGGTGGGTGGATGGTCAGTTCCTCTCTGACATGTGATTGTGTCCATGTTGGGAGCGGGAACAGGTGAGGTGATGAAGAGGTGCCCAGGGCTCATCACACCAGTGAGATTAATGTCATTTTATTGCCATTTTTTTAGGCATATTTTTCTAGCCACAGAGAATCTGTGTGACTCTGTGTTGTGTTTGAACCACAGCCCAGACAGGGCTGCAATCACTGTCTGGTACTGGGGTGGTCTGACCCATCTCTTGATGTTTTCAGCCTTTAATTATTTAGGATGAGAGATCTCAGACCTTCTGTCTGGGCTTTTGCTTGATTGCTTGTTTTTCTAAGATTTCTCTTCCCCCCTTCCCCCCCCCTCCCCGCTTCTCCCCTCCCAGGCAAAACTCTTGCAGGGGGTTGAGGCAGACGTTTTGTGGAGGGTCTCTCTTTTACGGGCAAAGAACCACCTTAATTTGGCCGGCTCCAAAGTGCTTTTGAAAAACTTGAATCGCTGCACACAGCGTGAAGTCTTGTTTGATTGTAGCAGCGAGAGCCGGCAGCAATTGTCCGTGCCCAAGCACGGATGAACATCCCTGCTCCGAACCACTGGTGAGGGAGACAGCAGCCAGCCAAAAACACTGAGTTTGGGCCTGGCAGGGAAGGGAAACGGGGAGAATAGGGGAGAAGAAAGGGCTATGTTGGGACAAGAAGGAGGAGAGAGCAGAGAGCTGGAAGGTGGGAGTGTTTTTTCCCCAGGGAAAGCTCTGCCTACCAAAGGCTGAGCGATGCTGCGTCCTGCAGCTGCTGCTGCTGCAAAATATCCTCTTTTTCCACGCTGAACACCTTCCCCTTCCTCCCTGCCCAGAATAAAACCCCCATAAGGCTCCTCTTCAGCAAACGTTTTCAAGTTTTGCAAAACTCCAGAGCTGGGAGGTGCCAGGGTGGGTTTGCTGTGCAGCCTTCAGGCAGCCCCTCTGTGCATATGCATTATGGAATCATCTTTAATGGCACGATCATATCTGAGTTTTTCACCTTTGCCTCGCTCAGCACAGCCAATGAACCTGCTCTGGGGATGATCTGCATTAATGTGAAGCTGTAAAAAACTCCGAGCGAAGTCAATGAGAGCTGTGCTATGAGCAGGGAAAGTGTCATTTAATGCTAAGCACTCTGAAAAATCACGTCTAAGTGTCTCAGATTTGGTGCATGTGAGGTGGTGGATGTTTTTTACATCACCGTGCCTGTGCCTTGGCTCCCTGTCTGTAAAATGGAGATGATAACGGGGAGATTGGGAACTTAATCACTTTATTTGTGGTGAAATACTGCTGCTTCTTGGAGTTGAGCAAAGCATAAGCAAGCCGTGAGGAGCTAAGTAATTGTGCATGCAGAACAGCGCCTGGATAGAGTACAATAAAGTAGGAGCTATGTGTCCTCCAAGGAAGAGAAAACAAGATGCTCAGAAGCTGCAGATGAAGTGGTTTGTAGGGGGCTGAGAAGCTGCGGATGTCTGTAGGTACCCAGGGGTGGGTTTTGGGGTGCCTAAACTGAGCTCTGGACTGTTTCAGGCATCCAGGGGCACCTGGCTGCAGCCTGGCACTGTCACCTTTGGCATGTGGGGAGAGATAAATGCTTCAGATAACCCTCTTGTGTGTGGTCTTGGAGTCAACACCTTCATCGAAGGCATAATTACCAGGTTACCCGGGCAACCTTAATTCTCACATTTTCTTAAGTTTTGAGTATGTGACGTTGCAACCTTTGTAATTTTCTTTATTACACTTTTCCTGTGTGCACAGACCAGTGAGTGCCTGTGCTGTGTGGCTGTGGCTCTATCTGTGGGATGACTGATGGGCCTTGGTGTCTCACCAGCTTTGCAGTGCTCCTCAGAGCTTCTGGGGCGGTCAGGAGGGACACAATGCTTGATTGTCACCAGGTGTTTAGTGTGGGATTTCTGTCCAACTGAGAGCACTTGCTGTGCTCCAAACCCCTGTACCATCCCATCCCTTCCCATCCTGCATTTTGCTGTTGAAGGAAATGCAACCTGCTGAACCTGGGATTGATTACAAGCCACGGTGAAGGGGGTGCTGACACATGTAATTTCCAGCACACTTGACTGGCCGTGCTTTGCCATCGCTGTTGAGGCTCATGTGCTTTTTCTTAACCCTCCTGGCATTGAGGTTGCCTGGGAGACTGAGCCAGCACCGCCTGCATTTCCTTTGGCTCGTGCAGGGTTGAAACCACCACCACAATCTTCCCTGTAACATGAAAAAATGCTCAGAATTCACACTGTCTTGTTTAACTCATCCATGGCATCCTGGCCCTTCACATGGCAGAGCTGTGCTGGCTCTGAGGGGGCTGCAAAAGGATAGGGAGTGTCCTGGTGAACCCCAGCATCCCTTGGGATGTGCTTTCCGGGCTGGCTTTTATTCCAGTGAGCTTGTTTTTGCTTTGCTTTGCTGTAATTAAATTCCTGGCCCTTCTGATTGCCGAGCTGAGCTTCAAAACGCTCCGGCGGAGTGATGGTTTTATTGAATCTCCAGCAAATTGCTGAAGCTTGGTAGGGAATTTTTCACACTTTCAACCTCAAGGTTTTTGGGAGAGCGTTTTTGCAAGTGTTTATGATAGCATTGCCACAAGAAGTGAGACTACCCGGAAAATTTATAGCACGCAGCTCATCAGCTGTGGAATGTCAGCGTAGCTTCGTTGAAATGCCTTCTCCAGC